TCGTATAATTTTCATTTGGCATAATTTTCATTTCGTATAACTTTCATTTGGCATAATTGTCATTTGGCATAACGTTATTTGGCATAATGCTATCCTACCTTATATAATTTTGGCGTGTAACTGTGTGTGTGTGTGTGTGGATGTCACTTTGGAGGCCCGATTAGAGGCCTTCCGTCCATAAAATGTCCTAATTCTTCGTCACTTGGGGGAATCGGCCCTTCTGTTTCCGATGGCATGCTCAGAATTTCGATAAAATACAAGTTTACAAAGTTAAAGCCGGTTTTATTCATTTTTGGGGGTAATTTGCATAATGTGAAAAAAATACAAATTTCCTCATTCTTGCGAGTTGCACGCGAGCGTGTGGTGGGGGGGTCGAAGGATGAGCTACCGGAAAGTCAAATTTCTCATGCAAACGCACCATTCCAGCGCCCAAGGCCCGCGAAGCGGGTTTTGGGCGCTGGTTTGGCATAATTTAGCCTGTTTATTCATATCACACAACATCACCGGTAAAGACAAAGACAGGGACAAAGACGTTGCTGGGTGGAATACGACCCGCGGGGGGTTCGGACTTCTTCGGTTTTTCTTCGAACCGCGTTGGCGCATTTTTTCGTACTTGACATCGACCCGAACCTGATAGGCACCCAATTCCTTGAGGAACTGCCGATTCTGTTATGAGAATTCTTGATTTGATGAGCGAATAACATTATACCAAATAACATTATGCCAAATGAAAATTATCCCAAATGAAAATTACACCAAATGAAAATTATGCCAAATGAAAATTATGCCAAATGAAATTATGCCAAATGAAAGTTACACCAAATGAAAATTATGCCAAATGAAAATTATGCCAAATGAAATTATGCCAAATGAAAATTATGCCAAATGAAATTATGCCAAATGAAAATTATACCAAATGAAAATTATGCCAAATGAAAATTATGCCAAATGAAATTATGCCAAATGAAAATTATACCAAATGAAAATTATACCAAATGAAAATTATGCCAAATGAAAATTATGCCAAATGAAATTATGCCAAATGAAAATTATCCTACCTTATATAATTTGGTCGCGTATCTTTGTGTGTGTGTGTCCGGCGCCAGGGAGGGCTACTTTGCATAATTAAAAAAAATACAAATTTCCTCATTCTTGCAAGTTGCACGCGCGTGTGTGGTTGGCTGGAGGGGGGGGGGGGTCCGAAGGACCCAAGCTATCGGAAAGTCAAATTTCTCATGCAAAGCCCGCATTCCAGCGCCCAAGGCCCGCGAAGCGGGTTTTGGGCGCTGATACCAAATAAAAATTATGCCAAATGAAAAGTATATCAAATGAAAATTATGCCAAATGAACGTAAATCGGTTCCTCTAATATAGTTACCATCCTCTAATCTAAGCCCTCCCCCAAAAAAAAACCAAATTTTTCTCGAAGTTACCTTTAAGAAGTAAGAAATGCAAAAAAAACGTTTCTGTTTAAAGGTACACTAAAATCTCGTGCGAAAAGCCAGCCCTCTCCCCTCTCCCGTCTGTGCCATGGCCTAGTGGTCTAAAGCGTTCGCCCCAGGCGAGTGGCGCCGGTTCGGTTTTGCTCCGCCGCAAGCGGCTACCGTAACCCGCTTTGCTATCCCGCGGACGGTTACCGGCCGGTAACCAAACCAACGAGACTCAACAAACCTTTAAGTCGTAATGTGTTCCTAAGTGCTTGTGAGCGGCTTCACTGCTATTGCTGTAATTGCTCAAAATCAAGAAAAAAATAAATTGCTCCCTCTAATTGCAAGTTGGTAGATAAATCCTGTCACAAATTTTTGAAATCGTCCTATCAAGCCGCAGTAACAACGAATTGGAACTTTCGATACATGATTTGATAGGCCTTGGGACGCTCTACCCTGGCATGACCCTGCTAGGACCCCAGAGTGGCTGGTCAACGAGATACCGCTTCGAGAAGTTTCGCTCAAAAAGTAGTGATAGCTTAGCAATATTTCGAATTGAATTGGTACGTTTAATCTTTGCAGGCAGACTTTGTAACTTACGATGGCGGTGTTGGCGAGGTCATCTTGATTCTTCGACACGGCCGGATCCCAGGCAAGGATCGGCTGGCTGGCGGCGAGTACAGCTCCGAATCGTGTGTATTGGGCGCCGATTGTCATATTATACGTCAATCCTACCACGTACTGCATACACTAAAATTGTAACGTAGGTTTTCTGCTCTTTGGGTTGGGTTCTTTTCATTTTTTGTTACCAGTGGTTCCTTTTTCTTTCGCGTAGAAACGAACCGGGCGTAAGTATGTATTCTCGTCCACGCCGTTGTTTACATCAATTACAAAGATCACATCAACTGCAGTATTGGTCATCGATATATCTGATCGAGCGCGCAGTTTCCGAAAATATTCGTAGTTTGCTGCAATGAAAACGAACTTGAGGTGGTTTACCATTTTAGACTCTAATCTGATTTCACTAGTACAGGGTGTCCGAAATAATTTGTCTTTTTACATCTTTCCTGGCAGCCCAAGGTCGGGTTTTTGAAAGGCATTTGAGATAACAAAGCTTCCAATAGGACCAGGGAAGTAGCGTAATGTAGGCCCCCGGGGCCCGGCCCCCCCCCGCCCCTGAAATCGGCCGCGGCCGGAAAGGTTCATAAGGGGGACCCTCATGACTTTTCTTTCTCAAAAATTTTTCGGGCTGCGGCGCTATTTAATGAGCTTTTTAAGACTATTTTTAATGCTCTGCAACCTATTTTTCCCAAATTTAAGGCCTGCGACGCTGTTTTTTTCGCTAAAGTATCAATTCTGTTAAAAAAATTTTTCGAGCCCCCGAGGTTCTTTTCTGGCTACGCCCCTGAATAAGACTGAAACCGATTAAATTCAGTTTTTGCACAAAATTGCTTCAATATGCACAAAAACTATAGAAATTGGGGTAAATGTGGGAATTTCACAAATCGGAGAGAACATCACTCAACAGCTCGTCGAGAGCTTTCGATAATATACCTAAATCCTAAAAATCGGACATCACTGCGGACCGCTAGAGTGGGGTCTTTTCTTGGGACACCCTATATAATTTTTAACGTGCTTGTGGTATTTTTCTGCGCATGCATTGAGAACTTACGAACCTCGCGCCAGAATCGTCTGGAAAGTGCTGTCGAGCTTCTCGATGTCGTTGTCGACCGGAACCTGGGCCATGGCTTCGCGAGAGGTTGCGCAGTCGCCCCACAGGGTCCCGGATGGCAAATAGTTAAAGATGCCCGTGTTCTCATAGTAGAGCTTGTTACAAAGATCTCTAGATCAAAAATATTAACCGCGATCTTGGGACATTACGGTGTTTCTCCGCTTCCGGCCGCTAGGATTACGAGTGAAAAGGAAGCGCCTCGATAGCCAGCCGACGGTACGATCAGATTTTTAACGGCGTACAGCATGATGCTAGAAATTCAAAATTGACTTCGACCAGTTTTCGGCTGCCACTATGGGCACAGAGCAGAAAAAGTGTGTTTAGATACCTACGCTCGAGAATCGAATGGGGCCGCCAATTGTGGAGAGTACTCCAATCCCGCGAACCATGCGGTTTTGTCGCGCACGTTAAAGTCGGCCGTCCAGTTGTTGGCGATATTTGGAAAGTAGACGGCGAATTTTAAGGATGACTCGCTGTACTTTTCAATGAATTCCATCGCTATGCTGATTTGCTAAGACGCAGGTCATATAACGCAATTAGGGACACTCACGGAGTGGAAGATGGCCTCCGTGACGTCGGCGCTGGCTTCGAGGATGAAGAGAACATCTTGTGGGGTGCCGACAAGTTTCATTGTGTAGTCTCGATTTACGTAATCTTTACGGGTGTTGCGAGAATCGTGAGAACGCATTGATTACCTGTCGTAATTGCCTGTATAGCCCATTTGGCCGCATCATCCATCACCTCGGGCGTGGCTCTCCATAGATAGTTTGGTTGGCTAATATATACATTATGATTTCTAGCAAAGCATGGACGACCTGACTATGCTTTGTAAGTAGCGCTCAGAAGCGCCAAGGTTGAGGAAATCTATAGCGAAGACGCTGCCAGCTCCCTTTAACGCCCAGACGACATCTGGGGTGTAGCCCTCGGTCCTAGATCGGACGAGAATTGTTCAACCGCGGTAAAATTACACCGGCGAAGCTGAGAGGAAAACAAAGGTCGTCGTCGGGCTGTCAGAAGTTTTTTGGAGCGGCGTGCAAAGGAAAGAACTCCCGCAACTAAATTCCCCATAGATTCTTCGGCACTGCGTGTACAATTAAAGCCGTATATGTTATCCGGAAGAACTTAAATTGTTACCTACCTGAAGAGTACGTAATAGCGGCCCTGCAGCAACTGCAGGCCCGTGATGTCCGACGGGTTGACGACGACCCGACACTAAATATGAAATTTGATGGCGGAACGGCAATTACGTAGAGATTCTATCCGCATTTCCCCCTGTTTTATCTGAATCAGCTAGCCGCCAGAAATAACATCAGACAGAACCGTAATATTTCGAATTTCCGCTCCGTGCTACCCACCGGGTTTGCCGTATTTGTTAGCGGACAAATGAGAATGCGATAGTCAATGTAGATCTTCGGCACCGCATCCATCAACACCAGCATGAAATCTTTCATCTTAAACGGAGGTGGAACCGGAAATGTAAAAAAAAGGATGAGCCGCTAACTTTTATAATTAAAAATACTGTACTCACCGCCGCAAATGCTTCAGCTGTCAAGAAAGAGGACTGGTCGTAGTAGATGACGATACTCTGATACGCCAGTGATATTTCCATTGGCGGATGCGGCAGCTCCGTTGCTCGGGAAAGAGCCAGCCAATCCGGAATTGTCAGATATGATACATCAGACATAGACATCCTACTATATATAAAAAATAGTGTTTGTGTGTGTGCGTGTGTGTGCATTTGCATGCGACTTCCGTCCGTAGTTTCAGCACTCAAAAAGGAAGAAGGAGGAAAGATAGTCATTAGGGCGTGAGGCAACACGACGCACGCAATATAAGGTTTTTCAAAATCAGCTGTTTTCGACAGTAAAAATAGTTTTTTGTGAAAATCGCGCTCGGCCGTTTGTTAGGGATCAATTTGCATGCACTGGAAATGGGGAGAGCCCATATAAGGGTGGAAGGGAGGCGTCTTTCTTTTCGCCCAAGAATTGAGGAGTTTATGCAAAGTGATGAAGCATTGGGGTAAGACGGGGCCAGGGTTGAAGAATAAATTCTTTAATCGCAATGAGTGCAGCGTGCGTTGTGCGTACGTAGGGCTTGTAGAATATATTTTGTTGCCATGCAGTAGGTGCGCGACATCAGAGACTACTAACCATATGAACGTTGCACTGGCAATGAACTTTTTGCCTTATTGCCTGCTCGATTTTGCTTTTTTTACCTTGGACGTCTTGTTGCTGCATACGCTCAGCAATGGCAGCATTATTGGCCGAGTCTTGGGCGAAAGCCCAGAGCCTAGTCCCAACGATGCATTCCAATGAAGCTCTCCCCGCTCCGGTCATATCCCATCCTCTAAGGAGTTCGTTTTGGGCCGGGTTGACAATATCTTGTTGGCTGCAGTCGTCGTCCCTAAAAAATAGTGACACTAAAATGACTAGACGTTAAAGGGGAAGTCGTGTTTTTGGAGCTCGAGCGGGGATGCTGGGGCAGTCGCTGCTGTGTAGCCAATCGCTTACAGATGATTGACTTACATGGAACCGCCCAGAAGGAAGTAGAAAAACGTTTTTCGGCCTTGTCTATATTTCTTTAGTTCATTGACGACGTTCCTTAGGTTCCATCCGGGAAAGACATCTGTCTGCTAAAATTCCATCTAGGTGACTTGCGATACGAGGACCAACCAGACCGTTCAACCGCTGTGTTAGTTCCACCAGATCTACAGCCTCATCCTGGGTAAACGATGAGGGCGATGCCGTATTTCCATATACCAGGACGCCAATGCGTGCGCGAGCGGGCAAAATACCGAAACGCCTGCCCCATGCTGCGATAATTTCGCGGAGCTAGTAACCAATATGGCCCGAACTTTGAATCGTTACCATGACAATTCGGTCGTTCATCGAGTTGCTGTACACCTGGATGACGAAGACCCAGTCTGCTTCCAGCTCTAATGTGGGGAATCCCTGACTGTAGGCAACTGTAGCCGAGAATCCGCCCATGCGTGGGTAGAGATCCTGTGCAAAATCCGATCGCTGCAGCTATGGGACGTTTACCGTATCGTAGCCGTTTTCCACTACCTCACCGGCCATGATCATCGGCTGGAAGGTGCCGGACATATCCGCGCCAAGTCGCGCAAATTCCGCCAGGTGATCCGGGTTTTGCTGCAGACTTAGCCCAAATACCGAGCAGCGCGCCTGCATCAAGGCAACTTGTTCGCCAGGGATCTGAGTGAATCTAAAAATTGCGCGTGAATAGCTGCGGGTTATCAACCATTCCCGAGATGAGGTTTTATTCTAAAGGAAACGAAATACGTTACAGGATCTGGCCCGAAGCACAACTACCGGTTTTTTTACAAACGTCCCAAACTTACTTCGGAGAAGCCATGATTACGATAACAATCTGGATTCGTGCCGCGAAGATGGCTGGGCTTGGGATCCGGTTAAAAGCGTAGCCAAACGCTCTGAAAATCCGTATGATAATTTTGGGTTGGTTTGGAAGCTAGTTTACTCGAAACGCACGTGCAAGCACCGGCTACGCACAAACTTATGCAGGACCGCGGTTTTGTTTTGACCTTTGCCTTTTGCCCTAAATAGGTGTCTACGTGGCCAAGCTAAGTAAGCTTCTTAGCTCCTTAGACGCAATTAATCCAAGTATCAAATGTGACGAAGCAAAGACTCACTTTTTCATGTCAAAATCCATCCTGGTTCCGACCGGAAAAGTCGCGTTGCTCTTGAAGGCATCCTCGGTGTTGAACATTTGCCCTCCATTTTCGGTAAAAACTCCGCCGGTCGTGGACGAGTAGCCGCTCCAAAAGTTGGGCAAAAAGTAGTTGTGCAACTACAAGATAACTCAAACAATTTGTTAGGGAACCTTACTATCTTTGCCAAATCATAAGCAAATACTGATGTATCGGCGATAATATAAATGTCTTTATGCTTCGCATTGGTTAACGGATTCTTCGGAGCTGGCCGTTGATTGCTGCATGTGATTTTGGCGGCTGAAAATGAGTCTTAATCGGATGTAAGCATTTAAAACCTTTTGCCAATGTGTGCTGAAGCATCGCCTGCGCTAATCCGGGTCCGTTGGCCGCCAGATGCGCGGCAGGATTCGGCCGCGATGCGGATCCAGAGCCGGGCAGATAAGTGGAATTCCCGATACCGGATGCTGCACATTTATACCAGTCGCTTCCCTGTGAATAATTTGCAGTTTTGTTAAAAAGTAAATTCTGGATATCATGAGTTAGGAAAGGCTGCTATAATTTTTCGCTTTTTCGATAGCTCTTTCAGGAATTCTCAGGAAGATGACGTTTTGCACATTTGTTTTATTAGTTTAATGAATTGTAAATAAACCATCTGCCTCAGGACTTTTCGAATGAGCTATCTGTTCTTACAAAACTGAGGCGTCAGTCAAAACGTCTCCGTGTTTGAATTACATACCGACTTGGTCGCAGCAACAAAAAACACGGTCTGTTCTGGCAACACGCCCATAGTATTTGGGCATCCAGCGCGTATTCTAAAAATTTTAATTTCCGTCGCGTCGGGTTGGCATTTCTATTGAGGTACAATGTACTACCCAATGGACGCACAATCGAATTAACGCTACGCTTATAGCTTTTTTTACGGATTGTGCTCTGCAGATTCTGAAACAGATTTGGTGTACTGGCCGGCGGCTCTGTCAGTCCTATGTTTTGCTACAAGATTGATACCCTTATGTGCGTGCACTCCCCTTAGAACACAAAACAAAGGATTACTCATAATCGGAAGAGACAATCGTCACCATCACCAGGGCCCCATTTCTAAACCCAGCCGTCCCAAGAGTAATGTTGTCAGCCACATATTTAAAGGCGCTAAATCGATCGTGAACCAGTACTTTTTAATACCCACAGATCAATATCAAAATTATCTGCGCGGCCAGGATCCAACGTAGTTAACAGCGCCTTCTCCAATAAATTCTTTGTTCGATATTGATTCAGCAATATTATCCGTCGGACAATTGTGTCAGCATAAACCACACCAAACTTTGTGGTTTCAAAATTGTAGTTGTTAATCATGTTGAGCATAAATTCGTTTACCTAAATGAAAAACTTTTAGGTTAGGATCTTCTTACTATTTGTAGGTCGGTAAGTGCTTGGGAATAGTCGACGATGAAAAACACATCGGTATTCACGGCGGAAGTTGGCAACGGCAATTTTGAAATTTGTGCAAGGTAAGCTAAACAGTGGACTGTTAGATTCAGTGTACTTTGAAAGGAAGGCTAGTTCAGACGAGCGAAGCCACATAAAGAAACCTGCCTCTGGAAAGGAAAGCACGAATACGCGTCTTTAGGTTGGCTATTGAATTAAAATCGCCGTCTGGGACCCGGGCGATATTTTCAGGATCCGCCAAGTAAGAGATCCATTGGATCGCACCTATAACAAAGCATTTCTTTTGCAAAATGCTGATGGCGGAGTGCTAGGAAATCCATAAAAATTTCAAATAGTTTCCTCCAAAAAAAGTGTCTCGCAGGAAAAGAAAAAAAAAAGGAAAAATGGGTAGTAAAAATCGAATATGCCTGCGGACCGCTGGAGGGGTATTTTTTTCGGGGACGCCTGGTATAGTAAAATAATTAAGACTTCCTAGACGCTCCAACATCCATGGCAAACGTCGGAAATTGGCTCCTATACTGATTCACGATAGCGTCCCTGACGAAATTGCCGCGGCTACCAAAAACCACGACTGCCACTGGTTTGTAAATAGGATGGCCCAGTGTTTCATCGAGGGTGAGCCCGGCTATTGCACGAATCGAGCTGAAAAAAATATGCTTTTTATTGTGGAAGTAGAGGTTTTTGGTTATTCTATAGCCATACACCTAGCAATAAGAAACCTGGTGAAAAGCAGCTTTCCTTGCTCGCCAGGAATGTACGTCAGTCCAGCTATGGCTTTTTGGAGATCATTCGAATTTTGGCTCCTAAAACAAATTGCTCACAGTCTCGAGACATACTTCAGGAAAGCGAATGAATCATTTTTCAGGTCACTTCCATAATTCGCCACTGCAAACTGGGTTCCGGCGCGGTTTTCCAAAAGAGCATAGTCTTCCACAAAATAGCTAATGAAAGCTTTGATCTGTGAATTGGGGATTTGCTCGGAAAGGAAAGCTTACATTCTCAAATATCTGTGCTGTCATCTCGCACTGATCAATGACAAAAATCACATCAAGCTTTACGTCTAATACTGCGATTGGAGCGGTCAGGTCGATTTTCAGGTGGCGCTCATATTCTAGATTCGCGAGAGTTTTCGAAGGAAACCCTATCCCCGACCAGACGACGCGGACTCCGCTAGCAAGTCCATTGTCACATCCGGGGCCCTTAGGTCGAGGTTCCATGTGGTAGTGGAAAAGCATTGCAAGGTTAGCGATTGTGCGTCGCCCAAGGTCGATATACTGATTTTCTGTGATTTCCTTTTTCTGTCTTTTTCGAGTCCAATCTTACCAGGATATCAGCAGGCAATGTTGACACAGCTGCCCTGACATCATTGCACGAGTCCGGGATTCTAGAATAAACACGATCGTTCACTATCGTCAGAAGGGTTCTCGTAAAGAAGTTTCTGCAGGAAATGCAAAATGACATAAGTATGGAATCAACGCAGTTGCAAGAGCAAGTTAAGACACGGTGTCTTAGAGCGCGCACGGGGGTGGGGACGGGCATGGCCTAGTGGTCTAGGCGGCGGCGGCGCGGGGTGCTGGTTCGATTCCTCCCTCGCCTAAAGACGCGACACCGTTTTGCTTTTTTTGCAAAACGTTTCTGCAAAGCACCGTCAATAAATCTTTAGCGAATTCCACGTAGAAAATTGGGCAGATGGGACGGTCCCGAGGCCGTAACCAGAAAAACTCTTGATTTTGCTTCAAAACGTTTCAAGTCCTTATTTTTCCCGGCGATCGCCCAAATTCTTTGACCAAAATGTTCCCTAGAGCCTTCTCTATCGATCGCCAGGTGGAACATTTGTAATTCTTTCTCGAAAAAAAGTTATAGCCTTTAGAAAGCTTTTTCTAATACATTTTGGGGGCCAAAAAGGGGCGTGGCCTAGCCCAGTCCCTCCCGTCCACTCGTGCGCGCTCCAAGTAAGGCCTAAGACGCCGTGAAGAAAGTTTTTTATCTAATTATACAATGCCAGTACGGCGCACCCTTTACACCCCGCCCTGTGTGCGTTCTCCCCATCCCCGTGACAGCCCCCTCTTTCGTGTTCTTTTCCGTCTTTCACTTTTCTGCAGGTCCCAACTTCTTGTTTTAGGCTTTGCCATAACGTTGGCTCTTCTTTCGCCCAATCAAATCAGGTGTCAAACAGCTCTCTTACAAGATATCCCTCTTGGGCTGAGTCAACGGGATATTTCCAGTATACCGCTTTTTCGAAATACCGCTTTTTCAAAATGCCGCTCTATCCGAATATCCTCTCGTTAGAATATCCTATCGCTTTCAGTCAACGGCAAGGCCGGAAAAAACTTATTTTTCCTATGGGTGCCTCATTAACTATCCGAAGCGTTTGCCATTTGCCCTGAAAATATTCGATCCTCAAAGCTAAGAACCTGAGAACTTGGTTAAAATTTGTAAAGTTAATGTTCTCAGGCATATTTACAAACAATTCTCTGTATACGAAAAATATGCTATTCAAAAAAATTTACTATGAAGATAACTCCGGTAAAAAGCGGTATCCTGATAGAGCGGCATTCTAAAAAAGCGGCATTATGAAAAAGTGGCATTACGAAAAGGCGGCATTTTGAAAAAGCGGTCAACATATACACCTCTACAACAAACGCAGAATCACGTACATCACATTTCCTGTAAGTAGCACCAATAGCGTCGGGTCGCCGGCCCTCCATCCGTTTTCGATCGTAAGCATTTGTGACGCTTGATAGATAGCCGCGGCCAGCGAAAGTTCAGTCGTCTGCTCCTCCATTACGTCCCACGCTCTTATCCTAGTGAGCAGCGCATCCGCATCTGCAATATTGTCAGGTCTTCCAAGCATAATTTCCCTACCAGCGATGTCGTTGAATTGGAAACCATTCCTTGTCACCTTCCATTCCGAGCCATCCGTCCACGCGCAAGCCCACTGCGAAGCCATGTCCTTCGAGATCAAAAACTGGTGACCGAATTTGCTCATTACGCTCTTGATCTAAATACGTGGACTAAACACTCTTCACATGTAATAGGTACCAGTTCCAGCGCATCGTACCCACTAGCAAATGTTTGGTCGAAAATGAAGAGTATGTCGACCTTGATCCTATCTAGCGGAATTATGCTTGCTGGATTGTGCGGCGGTATTGTGGGTGGCAGAATCGTTGATGTAGCTGAATTGCTGAATGGTTTAATATGTTTTCATACTGGGTGTGGGGTAGGTTGACTGCACCGAGGTGGTGGTTGCAGTGGAAACCGTAGTGGTGGCTAAACGACAAATTTGGAAAAACAACGCTGTTACGCTCGGTCGAGGTGGTAGGGGCCATGGTGGGTGAGGGCTGGGTCGTAGTGGCTACAAAAATAAAGTATCAAAACAGGTCTGCGTACCTTCAGTTGATGTGCTGGATGATGACATCGTCGTTGAGGGTAGCGTGGTGGTGGCTGGAAAAGAAACCATCAGCATACAGACTTCATACCATGCGCGGAAGTAGTGGGTATCGCCGTGGTTAGAGTAGTTGTAACTTAAGAAAATCGATGAAGATACAGGTTCACATACTCTCAGTCGAAGTCGTGGGCGGCAACGTCGTCGTCGTCGGAACGGTGGTTGTTGCTTAAGGTAATCAAATCGAAAAACAATTTCCGATACGTTCGGTTGAAGAAGTCGGAAGCAATGTGGTTGTCGTGACGGTAGTAGTTGCTGCAAACAAAATAAGCAAAATGATGTAATTACACTCAGTGGATGTACTGGATGGTAAAGTAGTTGTCGGAGAGACGGCGGAAGCTAAAAAGATGTTGATTTCAGCAATCGCATACGTGTTGCTAAAATTCAATATAGGAAGTAAAACATGCTTACGCTCAGTGGAAGCGGTCGGTGGCCTTGTACTTGTGGCTCGCGGCGTGGTCTTGGCTAAAAAAAAGCTAATATCAGAACGAAATCTATGGTTTCTACTAGAGGTGTGTGGAGGCGTGGTCGTCGTCAGAAGCTTGGTTGTGCCTTTAAAAGCGTACGAAAAGAAACGGTTGATTTTTACCTTTGGTAGAAGTTGTTGGTGACAACGTGGTAAGTATCCTGGGATGCGCCTGGTAAGCTGACCAAACTAAAGGTCCAATGGAAATTTGACGGTCGCGGGCCATTTCTTGGTTTTTCTTTTGTTTCCCATTTTCCAATTTTTGATAATTTTACGCTTTTCCTCCCGAACGGTCGGGATTATTAAAAAAAAACTGAGCAAAGATTCCCTCATTTTGCTTTGAAAGAACCCGGCTTTACCATTCAAAATATAGTTAACATATCCATTTCCCCCGGCGATGACACCCGAATCCGGGTCTAGACTTTTCGTGCGAACAATTTGGGTTGCGGCCATGATCGTCGGGATCACCTGCAAGTGTACTTTTCAACCCAAAATTGCTGCTCACCGCCCTTAAATTGTCGTACACATCGTCACCCGCGTCTTGCGACTGATCGGTCATGGAAAAACCGTAGAAACTGAGGTAGGGACGATTTTGCAGATTTGCGATGGCCTCTTCATAGTTATCAAGTGAGCTGGTTAGTCTAAAAAATCCGTGTTTTGCTGGATCGCAGGGTACCTCGGATTTTTGCCGAACAAGGTGACAAAGCTCTGATTTGCACGGTAGCCGTTCATCATCTGGAGTATCTTTTCATCTAGGACGGTCAAAGCCTCTCCGAAATCCGTGGCATTCGTTGGAGGGGGTTGCTGTAGTGCATCGATGCCGATTAGGAGTGCTTCCGCGCTATGGTGGGCGTTGAAATGTATCTGGTCTTGGACGCCATCACCATTGTAGAGTAGGACGGAAACCTTTAAATGATTTGACCTCTTCGATGAGGGCGTTCGCAACGACAACGTGACTGTTACTTACCCTTGCGAGCCCTTTGTCAATCGATAGCCCGGAAACTAGGAACTTCAGCAGTATTTTCACCTACAGACGGCAAGTCAAATTTTTATATTTTAACCTACCGAGTCCAACACACCTGTGACTGACACATCGACCACAAATGCCAAATCAGCAATTACTTCGCTTAGCTGCACTGGGGGCGGGTAACGATATTCTTTGTAGTCTGAATTTTTAGGTTGCAACCCTGACAATGTCACGTACCCGTCGTCACTTTGCCCTCGATCTGTTGGTCCACGCTCGAATCATTTGTCAAAAGAACTGGGGTTGCAGCTTCATATGCGTCGAAAAGTTGTCGGTATTCTTCTGGCAGCGTACCATCGGAGATGTCGACGTAGTAAGTAAAGACATTTTTCTGTTGCAGGGTTGCTCGTATTTGCTTCATCGTTTCAAAGTCCCACGTGCTTCTGAAATATGGTTTGCAAAAGCCGAAAATTTGCTTTGCGCACCGATCTTGGGCCGAGAAAATCATTATATAGCTTTTGGATTGGCGCCAACCATCTGAAATCGTGAGCTGCTCTTGTGCAATGTAGTTGAGGACGCTAAATCGAAATCTAACACTGTGCAGGACGATTACGTTGTTAAGAGACTAGAGTTCGAGTCCTTCTGTAAAGTCCAGTTGCCGAGCTTGTCCTTTAGGCAATCCCTGGTTGGACAATCCTTGAACGGGAATTCGTAGTGAATATCCTCCCCAAAGGCAAGAGCCGAAACTTGCGCGTCGAAGATGCCAATTGAGAACTTTTCGGTGAAGGAAATGAGGTAGTTGAGGACCTTAGCAAATATCTTTGCAGTCATGGGCAAACCAAACCAGGTCAAACGCAGCCTCGTCCACGTTCGCAAAATCCAAGACTAGTGTGAAATCGGCATCCATATCCTCGGTTGTGATATTGCTGTCGCGGATGGCGTTTAGGTTTGCTGAAATCATGATCACCACCACTAATTAAAGATATGTACAAAAGGGGTACCTAGTTGAAGGTCCGAGAAGAAGGAGACAACCGGGGTCTGCTCCCCGTAACGGGAATATTCCAGTCGAACAGCCCATCACCAACATGATATGCGTAGAGGTCCTAGAAGGAAGGATTGGCAATATTCACTGTGTTTTACCTCTGTCGCCAAAGCCAAGGTAAAGCAGGGCAGCGTCTGGTTGTCCATCCCGAGCACCAAAACCGTATAGGTATCTTGGTTGAAGTAAGTCAGGTTGACGGTCGATGGGATGGCGTAGCTGCTAAAATTGAATCAGTTCTTCCTTGAAAACATATTTTTACTGGTAGGTAAATACAGTAAGAAAAAGAAGAAGACAAATTCGACTTGCTTGTCATTATTTGCGGTAAAGACGATTGCAAAACTGGGCGCCGTCTTTCGTTTTCCACCCGCGGTGTCGGTAATATTGCTGTTGATAAACTCGATCGCCCTAAATTCCGTGATAAGGTATTGCGACTGAAAGTACTCGTCAAATCTTGCCGTCTTCAAAGCTCGGTAGATGGGCTGGATTTTATTAATGTTGTCAACGAGCACCTAGAATTGGAAAATCGACCCGGTCCAGCAAGTTAATACAGCTTTGTCGAACTGCTCATTCATGGTATGTGAGAGGGGCAGAACGCCGGTGGAATCGAAAACCACCAGGGCAAAACGCGAGTAGTCTTGCCCAACGGTGAAGAACTAAAACAAATTTTCGTCCTTGCACCAGGTCTGCTCGCTGGGGACCATCGACAGACTTACCTGCGTAAATCTTCTCAGAAATTCTTGGACATTGCCCAGCTGGATGGGAGTCATTTCAGCATCTATCACTAAGACGACGTCGGCTTTCATGCTTGAAATCGGCGGCGGTTGTTGGCCTAAAAGAAGGCATGCAGGCGACGGCCTCCACGCAATTCGAATAAGCCAAGAGCACTAAAACAAAATACACTAAATCCCACGTCTATTCGTCGAAATCTGAAACAGTAACGGCCCGAGCAAATCCAGCTGCGTGGCCATGCCAAAAGTAGGATCCGCGAATTCCGGAACAACCCGGTAACCGGTTGACATTGTCGCCAAGAACGTGGAGTTCACCGGTCCCAGGCCAACGGCGTAGATGTTGACGCCGCCCTGTGCCAGGGTTAGCAGCGTGTTTTTGTATTCGCCGTTATTCGTATGCAAATTTTGACTAGGATGGTTTGTAACCCGTGTAAATAGCCTACTCTCCGGTCGTGAATATCCAAAGGTAATTCGATTTGCCGACTATATAGCCGGCGCTGGGCTGGTAGACTTGATCGCACAAGATCTGGATGGCCCTGGAAGTTAAGCGTACTTGATTGCAAATATGTTCAAAGAAGTAATAAGGAATTTGCGCGGATAAAGAAGGATTCACTGACTGATCGATGTCCTTCGTCGGCACGTGGTTATTCGAGGGCCCATATTGCCAATTTACGGTCAACGCCTCGTAGATTGATGCCCAGTTTTGATGGGCGGTGAAGTTGAAGAGGGTCTGGAAAATTCTCATCCGTTGACCAGCTCCTCTAGGTTACCGTAGCATGGCCATCAAACGTCAACAGGGCCACGTGCGTCATCGCGGAAGCAGCATCAAACTTGAAGTAGCGCAGCGTGTTCAGCAGGAACATACGAATCTATGAATTCATTTAATTCCATACAATAAGCCGTATTTTGCGGATTTCAAGAGATTCCCGCTCACCACTTCAAAGCCCTTGTCGTTCAGGGCCTTGTCTTCGGGGGCGGCACCGGCACGATTCAAACTACGCTTGAAAACACTGTCGGCGGAAGCGTCTGTAAATCAGAGCTTTCCTATTCAGGCAAATTTTTTCCGACAGTGATGTAAAGGCAAAAGACTTACCAATCACAATCGCGAGATCCGGCCAATTTTGATCGGCAAGTAGGCCCTGCGGCAAGAACCCCGGTTGTGTGGTGAGGCCGTCTTGTGTTGTGCCGGGCGTAGATTTCCCTTCAAACGGGCTTTGCTTTTCTCGCTAATCTTACGAAAGCCATTAGCTCACATCGTTATTTCATTAAAGCAAGGAAACAACACTAGTTTCTTAAGTCTACCTTCGCCCGCCGAGTGTTCGCACACGAAGTCGCGTAACTGGTTAGCCGCCCGGACGGCCGGCGCCCCATCTGGGTCCCCCAACTCGCCCTCACCAAGCAACTGCAACATTTTTATGCTATCAAATCGCTCCTTACCAAGTATCTCTGCCAAATCCCATTGGTATCACCAAAGTTTGACAAGTTTTTATCTGTCCCTAGCCCAAAATTGTAGATCCCCGACGCGAGCATCGGGTCTGAAACATTGCGAGCCGCTTCCTCGTCCATCTTGCTAAAAATCGAAGGGGTTTGAAGAATAGCAAAAACACGAGCTAAGCTCACTCCAGCATTTCCGTAATGACGATCGTTGACCAGGAAGCGTAGGATTTTCCTGAATTGTTGAATTGTCTCCAGGCCTCCCCATAAGCCCTGGAAAGCACCAATCAGACAGAAAGTAGCCTTTTTGAAGCTAGAGTCATGCTAGAAATTACAGGCTCAAGTTGCTGCGCATGACGTCGTTGTCAAAAAATTCGAGGTTTCCGATTGCGGATCTGGCCGTTGTCAAGTTGTGGCTGGCCTTCAGCCCTTGTATCACCGTTACGGTTTCACCATAGTAAGTTAGTATCGCCATCCTCGTCAACTGGAAAGAAATCATTGAGGCATGAACTTACCGCCTAACAAGGGAATCTAGGACCTAAAGACGAGAAATATACCTTTTCGGCACCACCGTAGTCCATCCCTTTGAACGCTTGCAACAGCTTTTGGATTATGAAAGATTTCATGGCGTAGAATAAGTCTTCCTTGTCACTGGACGGTATATGTATTATCAAGACCACGTCCGCAGGTTCTTGGCAAAAATTTTCTAGAGTAAATTCTTGCATTTTTGAGCCGATTCTGCTTACTCAAAGGCGGCACTATGCAGTTTCCTTGCTCAGCGGCCTGTTGACGAAAATCGAGTAGTTGTTCCACGAGCAGCGCGCCCAATCGCTCGGCGTTGTTACGGGTAAACGGCAACAGCTTGGAAATCGTCGGAATAAATTGGCGATGTATTACCTGAAAATTTGGTTGTCCGGTAATGAGTGCCATGATTGTGTCATTTTTGCCAGTCCCAATGACAGCACCTAAAAATGAAGTCTTTAGTGACACTTTCAAGCTGGCAACCTTTCATCAAGACCCCATTACCCAAAAGCTTTGAGGAAATCGTGAAGGGGTCTTCACAGCAATCCTGCCCTGACTGGTAATACCTAAATCGCAGAATATAGGGTTTTCTATTTTCTCATACGTTCCTCTGCCAAAAATCACGATAGCTTGCGCATTCAGAGTGTCCGAAGCAGCAAGCGCCTTTTGCGCAAGCTGGAGGCCCCTAGGAAACCGCAAGGTGTCCCAAACGAAAACCCCTTTCTAGCGGTCCACAGTCTTGTCAAACTTTCACGATTTAGGTAACTTTCGAAGCTCTTGACGAGTTGAGAAGAGATGTTTTTCCGATTTTCGAATTTTCCGAATTTTTAGCTCGATTTTCAGCGTTATTTTTCTGCAAGAGTTTATTTTTCTCATTATCTCTGTCATCTTTTTCTCCAAAACACAATTCAAGGGATAGTTCAGCCTTGGAGCTTGGGCGGTACCTTGGGTGACCATCGACGCAGGGGGACACAGGCAAGCAGGCCACCCCCGCATCGATAGTCACCCAAGGCACAGCCGAAGTTCCAAGGCTGAACTATCCCTTTAATTGACCTCTGCTCCATAAGCTGTGTTTCCTCAGGTGGTTGCAAAAGGAGAGTTACGGCCTGCCAGGAAAGGCGTAAAGATTTGCAAAACTGGGTTTTTGTTTAGAACCTTTTGCATAGGAAAATTTACAAAGATTCTGTCCTTTCCCCAAAAATCTTAGTAAAAGTCCTCGGATTTCAAAATTCCAAAAGAACATCTTTCCTCAGCTCACCGAAAACTTCCGATAGATATTTAAATCGCCAAAATCGGACATTACTGCGGGCCGCAGAAGAGGTCTTTTTTTGGGCACCCTGCTGGAAATTAGCCTTTTGACATAATTACAAGGCAATATCACTATAGATCCCGGGCGGATTTTCTGGTATGGTATGGGCGACGAGTTCGGCCGCTGCGGCTGGATCATAAGATCTAGGGTCGGCCAAATCCAAAGCGATTGCCGTACGGTTTGTCGCTCCATGGAGGCCGTCTAGAATTTTTCGGTGTGGTTTGACGCTCTCGATTAGCTAGCTGAATCCAAACTAACCAGCCGGGTTCGAGTAGTACACCAGTCCCATTCGATCTCCGGAAGAACCCATATATTGCTTGACCCTCTCGATGTATGCCAAAATTGCTCCGCGTGCCTGAACGCAAAGGATTTATCCCGCGCCCTAACCTACGTATTCTTGTCCCTTCACGTTGCCAACCACTTCTGAATCCTCCACCAACCAAACAAGGTCAAGGTAACAGCTACCAGTGATTGACCCTGCAAAGAATGAAAGAAATTTGCTTGACAGTATTCCAAGTCTGCGGGGTGTCCTAAAAAAAGACACCCCCTTCTGCCGGTCCGCAGTCGTATCCGATTTTTAGGTAGGCTATCGAATGTTCTCTGAGGCACCGCTCTGCCTATAGGCCCACTCCCCCCCCCCCCGCCTAAACCCCCGCCGCCCCCCGCCAATTGAAGAGTACCGAATTTCCTATCGAAAGCTCTCAAAGAGCTGATTTAGATCTATTCTTCCTGATTTTCGAAATTTTGGATTTTTTTAAATTACAATATTTTGCGAAACCGACCAAATTTCTCACGATTGGCCGGTGAAAGGCTTTGCTGCAAAAATCACAATTGATGGATTTTCACGGCTTTTATGATGACTGCCCAATGGCAGCTTTCTGAAATCTATCTGGGAAAATAAAGTGAAGATGGCGGTCAACCCGATCAAATTGATTTTTTTTTGACCAAAACGTACTTCGGTACGGAAAATGCCGAAAATCGTGCAAAAACCCGGTATTTCGCTAATCGGAAAGGAAGTATTTCGTCAGCTCGTCGAGAGCTCTTGACAGATTAATCGTAAGAATCGGACATGACTGTGGACCGCTAGAAACGGTTCTTGGGACACCCAGTCAGCTGTATTCAACACACTTCGACAGCCCAGAGCTCGAACGATTGCCGGCGCCATCATGAGAATCGAGCCGTAATCGTCGGTTTGAATGATTTTTGCGCTAAAAATAAACTCTCTAATTCGATTTCTTCACAGTACCCCTCATTATTAGCCGTGTTGCCATATTGCATTATTTCGTTCAAGACGCTGATTTTGTCGACCGTCGGATAGGCCAATGTCGTGATGAACTAAAGAATGTTTTCAAATATCCGGGAATGACATCCGCGATTGTCTGGTAAATCACCTGAATTCCAGCGGCACTTATTCCCTCCACGATTTTTCCAAATTTTGCCAAATTACCCGGGTTGATGTCGATTGCGCTAAACGTTTGACATATTACATTGATTTCCCGGTGCCACATCCCACTTTTCCGATGTAATAAAAACCACAAGTCCAGGCCGGCTGCGATTGAAATGTGGAGCAAACGAATCCAGGGCATCAAATCCGCTGAAAAATTTGTAGGCAAATTTTAAAACTTTTAAATATTCAGCCTACATTGCATAGTAGGAGTTGCCATTAGTGTATCTTGTGCCATTTAGGAAACTAAGGAAATCCCGGGGGCCTAGAAAGGTCCCGGAATCGTCTTGCACGTCTTCGTTGAATGAAATATAACCAAATCTTGCGCCTTCGATTTGTTGAGTTTCCGCCATGAACGATTGGATGAACGTTATGATGTTCTGAGAGATGTTCATATGGTTTTTTATGAAAGGTGAGTATGGTTATACACCTCAAATTCATCATCGATACTCTGCGACATATCGACAAGGAAGAGGGATTGCAGACCATCACAAGCTTGCGCTAAATATGTCTTCAATGAAAATATAATGATTCTCACGTAAAATTGGAGCTGCCGTGGCAGTTGGCGATATCGTGGGTCTGTAATGAGGAGTTGTCTGTCGGGTTATTGGGCCCCAATGCGGTGTTGAGATAGTTGGTGCCGGAGTGGATAGTGGAGGAGCTGAAATATTGTTCTGACACTGCTGACAACACCTCGAAGATGGCCCTCTACGAAACCCACACAAGCAAATCCACCACAAGCTCCTCGATCGGATGTCCCCCATCCGCAACTCGTACCAATAATCGATATTGATCAGCTTGTAGCCGGATGGCAGAATTGTGGAGAAAACGGCACGAGTCGCTCTCGCATTGCTAAGTATCCAATTTGCGGGTTATACGGTGATTTTTCTTACCTGACTAGCACGGCAGCCGTGTAAAAAGTCTCGGCCACTACCTCGGCTAGAACTCGGCTACGATTTTCGCCGAATCCATTGTCATATTCACTAAAGATAGAAAATTCAAGTCGCACGAATTCTCCCCCACAATCCATCAGCCAACAATATCAGCGACCTCGCCATGCCGGTTTTCAGCTGCATCAACGGGTTAGAAAATTCATCCCGAATGAATTCGAGGGCTCTAAAGAAATCTGATTGTCCAGAATTTTTCGCGAGACTCGTAACAAGCCGGGATTTGCTATCACAATGTCGAAAATCATGAGGTCAAAATGTCATAATGTAGGAATAGCATAATGTCGTAATTCGCAATGTCGAAATATTTTAGCAAAGGTTTCGGGGCGCGGGGGGGAGGGGAGGGGAGTGGTTTCCGGGAAAATTAGCCTAGGTAAATTTCTGCATTAGGAATTTCGACATTTTGAAAGTAACCCCTCAACCGGGCCTACGCAACAAACCTAGTGACATTATGACTTTCCGAGGTTTCGTTGAGCATTAACTGGGAGATGGCAGTGTCCCATTCTTGCTGAAAAAGTGCGATGGCCCTATTGTGATTCTCCGGCCTATTAGTGGGCAATAACCACCAACCTGACTGCTGCACGGCCAATTTGATAGCAGGTACGCGTTGCTACCCTCGTAGACCCCGATTGCCATCTCTAGTCCATCCCAAATTGTACCGGTCGGTGGGGAAAGTGACATCAGGTAGGATCGTACCTAGATTCAGGGTTTTCGTGTTGCACTAGCGGATGCCGCGCCTCGGATTAGCTTTCGGCTTAACAGTTTAAACGTACAGCCCCTAATTTTTCAGCGTTAGTAACAGTTGGATCCATCGGTTTTGCGACGTCAACCATAACAATGACGGTTTTTGAGGGAGATCGCGGATCGCAGGGGTAGTCTGAAATCATTTGATTGCTCCTTCAATAGTTAAGCACCTGCCGGACTCATTTATCATAGCAAGGTTTCATTCAATAATTCATTTTAATGTTTTTGTATGCTCTTCCTTTACTTTCTGGTTTTCGGGTCCTGCTAACCCTTTAGCGCTTTTCAATTCCATAGGTTTTGTGAATTTTTTTTCTGCCTGTGTACTTCCTCTTGTCCATCCAACAACGTCTGGACCGGGTCCAGATGCCCCATAAATTCTTATCATTAGCGGAGCGCCAGTGGAGCAGGCTCTATTTATGGCACTTCAAAAGGGTTGATTCGCTGAGCGAAACACGCGTAAAATCAAAAAGAAAAGGTGTTGGTCAGACGAAGTATCACTCTCCCTCTCTCTCATCTCTCTCCCTCTCCCTCTCTCATCTCTCTCGTCTCTCCTCCCCACCCTCTTTCTCCTCCACCCACCCCCCCTCTCTCTCTCTCTCTCTCTCTCTCTCTCTCATTCAATTCTCTCTCTTTTTCTATTCTCTCTCGCCCCTGTCTTGGTCTCCCCAAGGTGAAAAAGAGGTTTCTCTCGGATTTTAACAAAAGCTTCACTTGCCTCCCAGCGCTGGCGGTGCCGGAGTTGGCTGATCGACCAACGCTCGGCAATAAGCGTGCGATGATTCTAAAAAAACACTTGTTAACCGTAGATTGGTTACCAGATACGATAGTCGGTCCATACTTTGATCTCAACGCCGCCTCCACATCAGACGCGCTGAGGTTTCCCGAAAATACAAAACTTCCGTAGAACTGTGTTTTGCGTTGCAAGTTTCTAAATGGCTACTTTGTTTTGTGACGTGGAGTCAACGTCAATGTCATAAAATATAGCCATTAACTTACAACGCCAAATAATCGGGTATAACGGCCAAAAGCCTAGCATTTACGGCCAGTGTCGAAAATTGTAGAATTTTCGGAAATTCCTGGACTATAAAGGAATTCGAGTCGAACAAAGACAATATCTAAACATTTGTTGCTTTTTTTATATTAATCCGCCATTCACGTCTCGTTTAAAGCTCGCAATCACAGCAGCTCTGCCCGGGTCATCCGGGTTGTTGTAAGAATCTTGCCACGGCACCCCAGGGTCTATCGAAAAGTGGAAGACATTTCCAATGGTAACCGTAGTCGAATTATCAGCTTCGTTTTTACAAGCCTTGTCGTGGTTACCTAAGGTCGTTATATTAAAAAAATTGTGATATTATATATTAAAAAAAGTGATTTAAAAAGGAAGCCCACTCTGGTCAGCTTTGTGAATTCCGATGTAAAACATTACACCGCCGCCTATCGCCAACAATACGCAGATCAAAAACCCGAACGATGTTATTGTGATCTACGAGAAGGTTAAATTATTTGGAACCGAATTTAGGGCGAGTGTGCAGCGTATAACACCTACGGTTTGCCATCGCCTCATACCGGTCGTCGTTGCAACTCAGAAAACGGAAAAGCTAAAAAATTAAGGATTTATGAGGTCCAGCGGATACATTCAGGATGTCCCAATAAAAAAACGAGACGCGGAAGTATCTGATCGGGACGGTCGTTACACCATTCGGAAGCCCTTCAAACGACAAGTTTGGAACAATTTTTAAAACCATATTTTTATTTAAACCGGCCATTTTAGAGGCATTTTGTAAAATGTTAGCGGTTTTTCGGGGCTGAATCCTAGCTAATTTGCCTCAAATTTCTCAAGCAAAATGACCAGAAGTATGCCGAGAAGCTATAGATGCACAGACCGTTCTTGAGCGTTTTGCAATGCGTTGCAAATAGGAGCATTTTAATAAAAAAATGGTTTTGAAGTTTGTTGCAAACTCGTCGTTTCAAGGGCCTTCGAAGGGTATAACTATCGTTCCGCTCCGGCACTTTTGCGTCGAGTTATAGGGGTGATAGTAGCAAATCAAACTAGATTTATAAGAGACCGTGCAGTGAAGCCCTACTTCCAAAAGCCTCGACTCAAAAAATGGCTGCCGATGTCCTTCGGGTCGCACTTCTGGATACGAGAGCCACGCCTCGCCAAATGGGCTCCGACACTCGCCCCACCGGCCAACGGCAATTAAATGCCCTGCTGCCCTGATAAGCGACGGCTTTTCCAAAGCGAGCCCATTAATGACCCCCAACAATTATTACCGGACTAAGATCGAAATCAGCACCGGTGCAAACAGTCACCTTATCGTTTGGGTATGATACTGCTAAAACCGTGGCGCAAACGCTCATTGTTGTGTGGCGTTTCATTCCTTCGTGACAAGGCGTTCTGTGATTCCAGTGCTATAACTTCGCTGGTACAACAAGCCAACAGAGTTGACAAGAACGCAGGAGACGAAATTTTGCCTACTAGAGACAGTATGGCGCCTGGAATTGGAAAACATGTTCGTGTTGCTGAAAGCGAGCAAAAACATTTATTGAACCCGGCGGCATTTGGTAATTTTATGTATTTCATCATGACAAAGTAGAGCCCTTATCATTGAAACCAACTCAATTATGGGCTTTGATGTTGACCTATGAACCACGGCCCGTCTCCGCAAGCGCAGCCGCTTTAAGAAAATACTTCAGCTGTATCCAGGACGGAAGTCGGTACGGGCTATACAGGTAATAGGCGCTTCGCATCACATCTAAAAGGTTAAGGACGACATGGATAACGATGGCTAAAATGAACACCACATCACAAAAACTTCAGTTTCAAAAAATGTATTAACTTCCTGCTGCGAATTTTGCAAGCGACATACGAAAATATTTACGCTACTCGCACCTACCGTACGCTTCCAAATTGTAGTCGACAATCTCGAGTAGCGCTTTTGCCACCGGCGCACTCCCATACACATTGATACCGAACAGACTTGCATCCTGCCGCAGTGCACGCAGCTGGTCCCGCGATGGAAGGTCCTCACTGCGAATTCTGACATGATTGAGCTGTGAAACAAACACGTAGAGACGCAAATGGCTGTGTTACGAGATATCTGGACAGGGACGGAGCGTAATACAGGCCCAGGGCCCGCCCTAGAAATCGGCCGGGGCCCAAAATTTAATAAGGGGGCCCCCTTATGATTTTTATTTTCTCAGAAATTTTGCTGCCTGCGGCGCTATTTTTTACGTTTTTACGGCTGTTCGTAGAGTTATGCAACCTTCTTTTCAAAATTTTGCCTGCGGCGCTGTCTTTTCGGCAATGTTTTGAGTTTTTTCGAAAAATTTTTTGGGCCCCCCGCGTAATTTTTTCCTGGCTACGCCCCTGTATCTGGATGACGTGATTTTGCCGTGCGCAATATGTATCCTTGCCACAAAAATTCCTTCAGATTTCCGGAAGCTAGCCTTGAAAGTCTGGGTCGCTTCCTTGTCTTTGTTCACGCTGCATAATATTACGTACGTCCACAACCTACTCCCTTATGAGGTGATCGAACTGTACGTAGCTTCAAAGGCACCTTTGTGACTCGAGGACCACCACGATGATCATAGGTTTTCCCTCTCTACGCCACACCGCTGTTTTGTTTTGTACATAGAGGAGGGCGTCGCGTAAGTTTGTCCTTGCATTCACTTGGTCGTTTTCCGGCATGTGCGTATTCTAAAATGCTAAAACCTGGAAAATCACAGGTCGTGGTTCCTCTAGATGACAGCTTATCTGGCATAATTTTCATTTGGCATAATGTCATTTGGCATAATTTTCATTTGGCATAATTTCATTTGGCATAATTTTCATTTCGTATAATTTTCATTTGGCATAATTTTCATTT